GGAATTTTCCCACTTGCTCAATCCCTCCTCTGTTAGGTGTTTGGCGAGAGCAAGCCCAAACCCAAAGCTGCGGTGAGGTCGAGCCTGGGTGCTAAAATTCAGGGTGACGTGTGAGTTACAGCAATGCCATGTGCACGGCTGAGTCAGCTTAGAGCAAACACAGCCCAAAGTCTAGGTATGTGAAACTTGCAGAGTATGTGGAAAGGACCAACTCAGCCAGGACCCACTTCTGCCCTAACTCAGGAGAGGGACAGCTAACATGGGGAGGGGTCTGCGAACCGACTCAAATTGGAGGCATGCATGGTTTGCACCATACATGAGATGGGGTCCATCGTTTTTTAGCAGTTTCCCAAAAGGGTCCCTAACTTAGGAAGATTTAGGAATTTCTGCTTTAGATAGTGGTCTCTAATGGTTTTGATTGTATAAAAAGGAGCTTGTTCCTCTATTAAAGGTTGTGTTTGTTCTTTAAATATTACATGTGCCGCATTACTGAAATATTATGCAAACTGTAACATCTACAAAAAACATCGGAATAAAAAGGGGCATGGTAAGAAATAAGTCTACAGAGAAGCACGTTAGTTTTCACCCCTGTGAGTCATCTGCTCCCCAATACAGGGACCTTGCTTCCCACTCTCTCCCCTGCGTTAGAATCTTGCTGGGCTGCAGCCTCTGATTCAGGAGGCCGCGATACTGTCCTAAAAGGCTGCCAGGTGATGCTGAAGCTGCTGGTCCCCGGCCCAGATTTTGAGTGTCAGGTAGAGAGTGATGAGGCACATGTTGAGTTTTGTCTCAATTACCCCAGCCGTGTGCCTTTGCAGCGCTTAACTTTAGGAACTAGTCTGTAGCACAGCCCTCCCCCGAGGCACAAAGTGGGCCCTGAGACCCTCTGACTCTTCCTTGACTCAGGCTCCCTTTTCCTGCTGCTGCTCTGTCCCTGTGGCCAGCCAGAGCTGGCTCTTGTCTGACTAGCTTAGCAACATCTGGGTCGTGCTCCCCAGGGACGCGCGCTCTGTGACTAGACCGCCCGGAGCAGGCTCCAGGCCTCCTGAGCCCTGTTCGCGTCGGCAGCAGGTTGACTTCCTGCCGCCCCCGGCTCAGAGAACTCACCGGCTTTCCCCAGCCGTCCGGCCGCTTCACAGCCAGGACTCCATGAGATGGAAGTGACAGGCGGACCAGCCAGGGAAGGGGCTGCTGTCCCTTGAGCTATGGATATTCCCACTTGGTGGCTCACAGCCACTGAAGGAACCTCCCTGCGGTGGCAACCACTTGCCGTGGTCCTGGTCTGTGCTCTGAGCCGAGGTAGCTCATGGCGTGGCCTCGGGGGGCTGCTCCAGGCTTGAGCAATATAAGGGGAGAGTCTGCTAGAGATGAAAACTGAACTCCCATGTCCTCCTAAAAAGAGTGCAATCCAGCCTGCTGATGTCCTGAAGAGCCCGCAGCGAGGACAGGTGCCCAGCTCTGCACCCAGCGGAGAGGTAGGAAACTTGGGTTCTCCAGGTCCATGTCTCCCCTCTGCCTCTTCCCGCAGAGTCCCCAAAGACGTGAAAGACAAAGAAATGTTTCTCGATTACCTGTGTTGTCCACAGATTATTTATAATTAAAGTCCTGTTATTACAGGGAAAGACCTTTCAAACCTTGGGCTTTCTCTCCAAAGGCTGCTGTTGGTTTTGTTTCATTGTGTGTACATTCAGGATGACCCATAACCGAGAAGCAGCAGCACCATGTTCTCTGATTACAGTTCACCTTTATTTGATTTAAAAATACTAAGTACATCCTGGGAGAAGGGTGTTAGAGTCGCTCTGTAATATGTCTCTGTCCTCTGTCCTTGTCATTGGAAGTGGAGGAGGGGAGCGGTAAATATGCTATCTTTGCCTCAGCTCTTGTGCCTAAAAACGGTTTTCCAAGTGTTTCCTCAGTAAAATTTTGAGTGCTCACCTAAATTTGAGTGCTGCAGTTTTATAATTAGCACCGACAAATTAAGTCCAGTTTTCCCCCCAATCATTGTTTGCATTTCAAATGCATTCTCTTCTGCCCTAAGTCAGACATAGTAGCAGCTTCTTTTCTGTCATAAAGATCAGTTTTCTTCACAAAGATTCAGGCAGCTTTGTTAGACTAGCTTGTCCGTGTGTCCTTCTGTGACCCAGAGGGAAGTTTACTCATCTGACTTCTAAGAAGCCCTACACTAAAGGGATCCTTTGACAGGTTTGTCCAGAAAGTCAACTCACATCCTAGTAAACCTGGAGAATTTCTGTCATGCCGCATTGTGCTGGAGCAGAGGGGCACTGAAAGCCTGTGTTGTCTGGGGACTTGGATGTCGGTGAGACGCTCAGCTTCAAGGGCCTCTCATCAGCCCACATAGTTCTTTTAACCTTGTGCAACAAAGTGCGTGTTGATATAAATGTTCATTCTTTATATTGATATTGGCAAGGAAAATTTTATATATTTCTTTCATTCTATTTTTATTTACAATGTTCACATTTAAACCAGAAGTGTGTCCAGAAAACGTAGACAAGCTGACATGTCTTTGAAGAAAAGCGTTCGTCCAGGCTTGACTTTTCCTTTCCCCCATTTGTACTGCTTTCGTTTCTTGCATCCGAGGTTTTTTTAGATGTTTTTAATGTCATGCTCTGTTAGCAGTGCGCTGAACTAGATCAGAGCAGTACATGTTTCTCTCCCTCCCATCCCCTCTCACCTTCCCAGTTCCTGGCAGAAGGAAGGTAGGTGATTTCTTTTGAGGTTAGTGAAGGTCAGTTTGTGTCACCTACGCAGGCTGTGTTGAACTGGGAACCTTGGAAACGAGGAGCCACCTGTCCCTCCTTCCCAAGGTGACTCAGAAGGCCAGTCTCACTGGTTTCTCGTATAAAGAGGAGGAAAGATCTGTTTTCTAAATGTTGGACTCAAAGCCTAGCGTATTTGTTCTAACAGGTCTTATTAGATGCCAGGGCTTCTTCATAGCTAGTGCCAGTTACATGGGATGCACCTATTTTGTTGAGAAACTTCTTGTAATAGGCACGTCGCCCTCACAGGCCTCTCTTGGCTGGAGGGGTGGTGAGGTCTGCTGTGCAAGTCTAGTCATCCCCCAGAGGCCTGGGATGACTCAGAGGGGATTCAGACAGATGGTGCATTCTGAAAAATCTGTAAAAGGGAGTATCAGTGAGAAGATGCTCACCAAAAATGGAGTAATGAGCGAGTGTTCTCTTTGGAACAGAAGCCAGAGCCCATTTGCTTAGTACCTCCATAGCTCCCCTGGTTTGCAGGCAAAGGCCTCCACCCCACCTGACATCCAAGCCCTTCCTGACTGTGCCCCAGTCCCCATGCAGCCCAGCTCCTGTCTTTGCTCTTGATGTTCCAACAAAGGTGAACTCCTTACCCTTCTCTTAACTTACCATCCTCTGTCTCTCTGCTTTTGTTCATGTTATCTGTGTGCCTATGGATTCTCCTCCTCTGGCTGGCAAACTCCTATGCATCCTTCAAGGGCCAGCTTAAGAGCACTCCTCTGTGAGGATTAAAAACAAAACAAACAAAAATGACATAAGAAAAGTAGTAGGGCTTAAATGTTTGTGTTCTCCCAAAATTCATATGTTGAAGCCCCCACCCCCAGTGTGACAGTATTTGGGGGTGGGGTCTTTGGAAGGTAATTAGGTTATGAGAACAGAGCCCCCATAATGGGATTAGTGTCCTTATACAATGAGAAGGAGACTAGAGCTCTCTCTCTCCATCATGTGAGGAAACAACAAAAAGGTGATTGTCTACAAGCCAGGAAGGGGCCCTCACCAAGAATCGAATCTTCAGGCACCTTGATTTTTAACTTTCCAGATGCCAGAAGGGTCTGAAACAAATGTTTGTTGTTTAAGCCTAAATATAAATACCGCTGAATTTTGCACTTTAAAGGGTAAATTTTATGGTACATAAATTCTCTCTCAATTTTTTAAAAAGTGATGACAGCTATAGTTAAATAATTCTTTGTGTAATTACTTTTAATGCTTGTCTCTCCCGCTTTGCTTGGCCTGTCTGTTCTCCTCTGAAGAGGGGCAATGACACAGCGGTCTCCTTTAGTGGGTGTTGTGAAGGAGCCAAGGTAGAAAGGTAAAGCCTCTTTGAACCTGAACCATGTCCTACTGACAGCTAAGAATCTCAGGAACTAGTCTGGTCTGTGGACAGACAGCCATCTATACAGAAAGTCCCAAGGGTCACCCCCCTTCCCTGGACTACACTGATTTCATCAGAAGATAGTGTTGTGGCATCACCAACAGATCTGGAAAGCAGTGAATTAGCGTTAGTGGTATTCAGAGAGTTTTGTGACAACCACGGGAAGACATCAGTGTCAAAGGTGAATGCACCATCATAGATACTTCAAGATGATGACAACCCCAATGATGTCTTACATTTGTGTGGTCCGGTGCCAATCCCAGAGCACTTTCCCATGCCTTATCTCACCAATCCGCGTGCTCGCCTTGTGATGCAGGAAGGCTGTGACATCCCCACAGTTTAAACGAGAATCCCAGAGAAGTAACTTGCCTGTGATTGCAAAGGGGGCTCTTTTATACTCTATCTTTTCTTTCCACCTGTCTTAAAAGCTTGCCTACCTCGTCCAGTGCCCTGTTCTGTAATATTTTTTCCTATGATCTGCTTATGACTTGCCAGTTTCATTCACATTACTTAGGTGGAAAACCTGCTCATGTAATTGCTGACATTTAAAAGAATGTCATGAATACATCTGACAGTTCATTTTATTCACTAGTTTCCATCTGCTTCATAGGTTCCTGTGAGTGTGGATTAATTAAGCTGAGCTCTATTTTTGCTAGCAAGCTGATGATCCTTTGGGTTGAATCAGCGGCTGAGTGAGCCCTGGGCTCCTATCAGTGACGGAGCCTCGGGAAAGCCTCAGTCCCTTCCCCTAAGAGCACAGGGTGGCCATGCAGGGCGTCTGGATATGAGCAGCGAAGCTTGTACAGGACTTGCTTTTGACCACGCTTCTGCATTCTTCTCTTCTTTAAAAGGTACATGACCGACGGTGGACTTGGCCTCTACACCCGTCGCCTGAACCGGCTCCCCGATGGGATGGCTGTCGTGCGGGAGACTCTGCAGAGAAATACCTCCCTGGGCCTCGGGGACGCCGACAGGTAAGCTGGCTCCACTTGGAGGTGGGCAGGTGCAGAGCTTGTTCCGCGGCGGCTGAGAAGGGAGGGCGGTGCTGTGGAGGGTGAATGGGAGCTGCTTCCCCCTGCAGAGGCTGGCGGGCCGGGCCTGGGGCCAGCAGCTGGCATGGCAAGCGAGTGGGCTGCTGAAGGGCTCCTGAGTCCTGCCCTGCATAGGGTGGTGCTTCTGAGCCTTGAGTAGGCTTTGTCGTCGTTTTGACTGTTGCTATGCGTGTTTGTCAGTTCAGCGCCCCCCTCCCCCGGGATCTGCTTCACTTCCTCTGTTAGGCGGCTTTCTAGGTACTGCGCCTCCGAGCCGAGTCCCGGGACGCGCAGGCCGGCGTGCGGACGGGCGCTCTCTGGCCTCGGCGGCCCGGGGCCTGGTCACAGGCGGCCGGGCTGAAGCGTGTCGGTTCATACACTTAGACTGAGGCTATAGAGCTGAGTTGTTGAGGTTTATATAGACCTGTCTTCATTGCTGCTGCCGTCAGAGATGAAAAGAACTTCAGAAAACGCTAAAAGAAAGAAAGAGGGATATTTCGCGGCTGAGTTTCTAGTCCCTTACTCTGACACAAACTGAGTCTATGACCGGGAGCCGTCTGTTATGAAGAGGTTTGAGCCATTGTGATTTCCAGGATCCCCTTGAGCTCCGATGTGTTGTATTTCTGGATTTCAATACCCTTCAGTGACCTGTCTGGAACTGTTTTTCTGGCATACCTGACCTCTTTCCACATCTGGGCTGGTGAGACACACCGTGGAGGTTAGACGTGAGGCGTTTGAAATCACTGTGCTCTTTTCGGGCGCTGAGCCTCAGGTGTTGGAAAGCCAAGTAGTTGTAGCCCAAGTCCAGCCTCTTGCTGTTCTCGTAGCAGGGCCTGCTTTTTACAGGGAGTGAGGTGACTTTGTAGTTCTCTGGCTTCAGAGAACTCGGGCAGTGTGCTAAAGAGGCAGACACTGAAGTTACTCCCAGATACGGGATTTGCTGAAGAGCAGTCTTCACATTCTCTCGGGGGAGGCTGGGAAGCTTCAGCTGGTGGAGACAGCACTGAATTCGTTGTCAGGAACATGGGATCTGGCCCACGCTCTGCCGCTGGCTTGCGTGTATCTTTCTCAGAGTCCCCGCTGTGTCTGGAGTGGTGATTTGTTTGAGAGATAACAAAAAGCTTTCCACGACAGTGCCAGTTCAAGTCGGTTTTGTTCCTGTAATTAATTTATTTTAAAGTAGTGGTTTGAAAATTCCACAGAAAGATGAACCATTTGAGAACTCTTTCTAAAGCTAAAGCTCTCTATAAATAAAATCTTTAGAGTAAATATTATCGGGGGTGGGGGGTGGGAATCAGTTGTTGTAACACCCCCACTGGAGATTTCACAGTCCTGCCAAGTCATTTTGCTTGTTTGTGTTCACCTGTAAACATGTAGTTGGTTAGTAAATCTGTTAGCAGGAAGTGCAGGCTTATGAGGTACATTTCCCCTTGTAGCAGAAGGAGAATCTGCGCTACGGTTTAATTTAATGCTTCGTTGCTGGGTTAATGGAATTATCACAGATCACAGCTGAGCTTGTTTCTGCTTTTGGAGGTGGAAGGTTTGGGTGGGGGCTGGAAAGTGATAGCGTCTGTTATGTTTTCCTAATTCACTGTATGCTGGGACCACACAGACAGCAATGTCTTCTGGTTCTTCCCCGACAGTACTGCTCGCAGGTGATCATGTAAGACTAAATGGCTAACTGACCAACTTTTGATGAAAGAATTCAAGTGGCTTTTTAAAAAATAGGATTTTAATAATGCTCTAAATTTCCTATTTTATATGTGTTGACCTCTAGGCAATGAGGTGTTTTGCATTACTCTGGAATAAGTTAAATTTCTCTAATCTCCAAAATTATTGTAAACAGACCATAGTAATGCTTCATCTTCAGCCAAGTGGAAGTGGTGTTAGATTTGTTTCTGTAAAGTTCTTTATGTGAATCTCTTCCCCAAACTGTATTCTGGATGAGTGTCCCCCAGACTGGGAGGCTCGCGTGGGTAGTATAGGAAATAACTTTAGAGAGTATATAGGGAAATATGTTTTTTTAACAATTACATGTTAATTTTAATATTTTAAAGAACTTATTACTGTGCCCTGGCTGGGTGGCTCAATTGTTTGGAACCCATACACCAAAAGGTTGCGGGTTCGATCCTTAGTCACAGTGCATACTGGAAATGTTTCTTTCACCCATCAGTGTTTTGCTTGCTCGCTCTCTTCCTTCCGGTCTCTCTAAAATCTATAAAAACATATCCTCAGGTGCAGATTAAAAAAAACTTATAACTATCACATCAAACCATGATTTTACAAATATTGCTTAGGGTAAGGATAGTGTGGGCTCTGTCATGTGAAATATCAAGGGAGACTATCACAGATGGTGTGCAGATATATTATTTTTTAAAAAGGTAGTATGCAAATGGCTGGCTGCAGGTTACACAATCCTATTCTTGTCCCAGTAATTGGAAATATGTTCTTTAAATAATTTAAATTAGACAGATAAAAAAATGCAGAGAACCCCTCCCTTTCCAGAATCCTTCCCTTGTAACTTGAAACAAGAAGGTCCCAGACCTGAGATATTTCCAGGAAGTTCTTTATAAAAAGACAGCCCAGTCCTTATGGATTCACACACAAGCAACAGACTGGTTCTACAAAGGAAACAGGAAAAGTACTGAGAGATGAGACCCAATTAGACCTCGGCGAAGGGAAGGTGCAGCACCTCCCCGTGGAGTAGGAAACCCTGCCCTGAGCAGTGCCACCCCGAGAACAGCCCTAAAGGATGCTGACCTACCACCCTGACCTCGGCCTTTTGCAGCAGGATGCGGCCGGGGCATCTGCAGGGTTATTAAAAGTAGCTGATAGCAATGTGTGCCTTCAGAGCCTGGGAGATAGAGGCCCCCTCAGCTGTGAGCCTCTATGTCACCAGCGGGCTTCTGAGAAATAAAAAAGGAGGTAGTAAATTCAGAAGGCCACATCTCACTCCAGGGCTGCCACCCCGGGGCTCCCATTTTTACCCAACAGTCATCAGTGGCTACTTCCAGCCAACTAGACCAGCCGGCTGAGAAGGGAGGATCATAAGGGACAAGTCATCACAAGTCACAGGCCCCAGATAACAGACAAGGAAAGAGAACTCTGGCGTGGAGGTCTCTGTCCGGGCAGCCTGGGAAGGAAGAAATACGCCCAGGAGGGCCCAGGGGCTGGGATCACAGACAAGCAAAGGGTTTGTTGAACTCCCGCCAGCTCCTACATGCTCTGCGGTCCCCTCAGTACCCATCGGAAGTTCTTGAACTCCAGTGAGTAGCATGAGTTCACAGCTTAAAGCACAGCTCTGGGAGAGTTTCCATGCCCGGGTCCCTTCCTTGGTCCCTGGAAGCCGTCGCTGTGCTCAGGGCCGTTCCTGTCACCACCCTCTGTGTTTCTGTGCAGTGGGCACAGGCAGCTAGATGCTCCCCCTAAATGCCACCCCTGGGTCATGTAAGTGTCACTGAGAGCACAAGAAGACAGAAGCCAGGCTTGTCGTGTGCGTTGAATCGGGGGGGGGACTTTGGAATTCTTGGTACCCTTCTTCCTCTAAACCCTTAGGACGCTTATTGAACTCTGTGCCTTTTATTGATTGAGGTAGTAATAGAAAATAGCAAAGCAACTAATGCATAGTAAAACATCAGCCTGAGACGAACAGAATGTAAATTGCTCTCCACCATGATGCCAAGAAACCGGGCAGGAAGGAGAAACTGTTTTTTTCCCTCATGTTGCTGGGTTTTCCTTGCCCCCCCCAAACTCTGAACATTTTAGGTGTTGAGACTGTGCTCTCAGTAGGATCAGTCCCTGCACCCACTTTGCCATCTGCCTTTGGAGCCCTGGCCTGGCACTCAGAGCTGTCCCACTTTCAGCTCGAACTGGAAGGCCCATGGTGTGAGGATGTAACTATGCAGCCTGGTATTTGACCAGCCTGCCAAGCTGAGCCCTCCCTCCTCTCCGAGCGCCGCTTGGCTCTGTGATTTGTGTGGAACAAGGCGGCCTCCTGGCCCCAGGCAGTGCAGTCACAGACTCAGGGCCGACCTGCAGAGAGGAGGTTAACCCAGGCCAGAGGTCCCAGCCTGCAGATGGAATTGTTAGGAGCCCTTCCCAGTTAGTAGGTGTCCAGGCCTGGTCTCCAGAACCTGTGGGTATGTCGTGCCACCTGGCTACAGGGATAAAGGACCACTGTGAGGAAGTGCACAGAGTGAAGGGGCGAAAGTGTTCATAAAGTACTGAACAAAGATAAAATACTCTGATTATTCCTTAGTCCTGCAAACCATTCAGGGCTCTCTGGGCTCTATCCCCTGGTCTCTCTTTTCTTTATATTTCATTAATTAACAAATAATTAAGCCCTCTTCTTTCCATAACAGCTTAGCGTAACCATATATAATGAAATAACAATTGTGTATTAAAGGAAAGCACAAGGACCAGGGGAAGTGTGAGTTAGAATATGCCATGTAGAAAAGGGAGGAAATTGAGAATACAGATATACTAGCCATAAGGTGCCACACGGTTGAATATTTGAGCATTGAGCTTCCTACTGGCCTAAGTGAGAATGAACTTTGCTTATCTCCCCCC